TGTGTGTGTGTGTGTGTGTGTGTGTGCGTGTGTGTGTGTGAGAGAGAGAGAGAGAGAGAGAGCTGCAGCATGCAGCATGTCAGTTGCGTGGGAGCACAAGGGCAGGCGCTGACCTCCAACAAAAAGAAGAAGTAATTTTATCGGAATACAAGAGGTTTTTCTTTTCGAAATCCGAATAGAAAGGGTACAGATTGTATTCGAATACAACGTGTAGGACCTGCACCGTTTCAATTTCGAAAAAGGACTACCCGCACCGTTTCAATTTCGAAAAAGGACTACCCGCACCGTTTCAATTTCGAAAAAGGACTGCGGCCTCCTCGGCCTCCTACTCGCAGCTACCGGTCCTACGCTGTGCTGGCCCTTGCAAGGCCCCAAAACCTCAAATGCCCACCCTTCCGACGACCACGGACGTTGAAATTGACGTTGAACGTTGAATGTCTCAGGGGGGGAAAGCGCATCCCTGACGGGCTGCGAACATGAGGACCCTCATGACAATCAAGCCCATCTTACTACAGGGGGCACAGCCATGCCAGATCTGCGGATGCGGATGGATCAATCTAGCTAGGGTAGGGCTGGAAACACGGGGAGACAACAACTCGGAATCTGAACAAACCTTACGGAAGGAGTGAGGCATCAACGCCAATCACGCAACGGGGACTGCTGAGATTACAGCGAATGGGAAAGGTCCTTCCTTCACCTGCAACCTCCCTGCGGCAAGGAGCTGCAGAAGCTCTGGTCACAGTTCACCCTGATCCCATCACAGAAGACAGCCTCTCTGTGAGGACCCCGGCCTCAATATTTTCTTTTGGAATATCAGCCTTGGGCACTGGGCCCGTTGTTTGTAAAAAAAAAAAAAAAAAAAAACGGTCACAGCATACAGCGAAATGGGAAAAGTCCTTCCCTCGCCTGCGACCGTCCTGCTGCGAGGAGCTGCAGAAGCTCTGGACGAGGATCACCCTGATCCCATCTCAGAGGATGGCCTCTCAGTTCCCCGTTGCACAATGGCTGAGGAAGACACGGCTGGAAGTTCAAGACCGACGTTACACCATCTATTAAGTCAGTTAACATTCTTTTTTTTTTTCTTTTTTTTTTTTTTTGAACACAGCTCCAATCTATTCGTGGGGAGCAACACGTGCTGGAAACCGGCCCCAGCGTCGCAAATTAGGAAAGACACAACAAAATAGCCACAGAGGCAGGAGACAGGATAGAAGTCCGAACTAAGAGGTGAGCAGCGAGTTGTGCTGGTAAGCTATAAGCTGGAGTAATGTTCTCAGTATCCGGGTTGAATTGAATTGAGAGAGATCCTCGGCTTCGTGTGGCACTGCTTCAAAATAAAACAGTTGGATGTGTTGTTTGGTAAAAGCCAAAAAAAAAAAAGAAGTAATTTTTCATCATCGAGGTGTGTGACCAGCACCAGGCAGGCAGTTTAGAATAATTCCACGGATTTCTTGCAGACTTTGTTGGGTGATTGCAACCTCACTTTTTTTTTTCTATTCTTTTCTTTTTTTTCAGAACCTCGCGGTTCTGGCTCCTGCCATTCTGGGGCATGGTCCCACTAGCAACCGGATAGGATAGAAAAGAGTTTGTGTGGCAGTTGAGTGACCCAAATCCTGCCGTGCAGTAGCCGTGATCCCACGGTCAGTGTTTTACATGTATTACCCGAAAAAGTAAGGAGATCTTGGTTCCCC